TACCGACCAGTTTACACATTAAAAATACTCGTGTTTAACATTGAGACACAATAAGACATAAGGTTTGAAAAAAGGCCCAAAAAACCAAATCGGCTGATATGACGTTTTCCTCGCACTTTCAAAAAAGGTTGTTTTTAATATAAAATTAGTTCCGAATCGTTACGTTTTTTTCTTCACATTTTCAAAAAGCATGGTAATAATAAAATTAATACGTTTTTCTTCACACTTTCAAAAAAAGGCATGGTCGTTTTTAAATATTAGAAATAAATATTCTAATAAAACAACTTCCCAAATTGTTACATTTTTCTTCATTTTCCAAAAAAGCAAGAATCTTTTCAAAATATTTTTTTTAAATAATAAATGAATTAATTCCAAATTGTTTTTCTTTAACAATAATGATTAATCCCAAATTTTTAGTGGCTCGATTTTAATCAAATGATTTCTTTTACTTATAAATATAACCTTTGAACGTTTAAAAAAATTTGGGAGAGTGATCATGATCAATGATCAATGATCAAAAGATTTATACGACGCAATCAATTTTGTGAAGTGAAAATTTTCCTTTCGAAAATTTCCAGAGAGATAGCATCGTCGTTGCGAATTCTTTCCAAGTATGTTGCACTGATTTAGTTGAGTTGTATTCTTTCGTTAAAATTAAAATTTTGTTTGGGTGGGATGTTTGGATATGAAATTGAAATTCTGATTGGCTAATTTGAATTTCGCGTATGTGAATCGCGAATTCACATAAATTTCATGCCTATTCTTTGGGCACTGCTATTATTATCAATAATTTTATTATTAATATTTGTATCTTCTTTGTTTTCATTATCTTTTGTCGCTTCGCTCTCCACTTCTTCTTTCATTGCTGACCTATTCCTGGATTGATTCTATCGTTTTCCTTCTAGGATTTATTTTCATTCGTAGAAATTTTTAATAGTAGAGGTGGTAACACCTCTCTCTCCAAGTAATTCATTAATCATTTTGCTGAATGAAAATTAGGATTCAATCCAATCTTTTTACCTAATAATTGTGTGAAGTCATTCCATAAAGTTTCAACTTCTTTCAAGTATTTCTTTTTTATCAACTATTTTACTAGATCTGTATTTTTTCCCAGGTTCTATTTTGTTGGTTATTTTATAAACCGAAACCAAACCGAAGCTTTTGCGCACAAACTGAAACCAGACCGAATTTATTTTTAAACTTAAAGATGCAGATTAGAAATTAATGCTGATTCATCGTCGAATTCTCTAATTCCGCATTAATATATTTTATAATTTATTTATTCCATTTTATTTATTTCATATAACATTTGATTTCGTACTTGAAGAGCTATTTCAGATTAAATCACTGAATTGAAATTACACAAGAAGTGCAAATTCATGATTAAATTGCTAAATAGTAATTAAAGTGCAATATTTGTAATTAGAATGTTACAAATTAATTTGATTATATACAAGAAGCTTGTACAGTCAAACCTTGTTTCAACAAAGTGATTGGACTTATAAGAAATTTCATTCAAGATTTATTGAAATGAGAGATTACTATATGTATTCATAATGTGTAACAAGTTTTTTAAAAATTTCATTGGAATGTGAATTTAATTGTTGAAATGGAGGTTTGACTGTACTTGAAAAATAAAATTTTTTTTGTGTTCAATAATAATTAAAAACCAAACCGAACTGTTCAGAGCTTTAACTCTTATATTACAGAGCTTGGTATTAATTTTTATAATGAGGAAAATGACCAATCAATAAGCCAAGATGAATTCAATGGCAAAGTAATTATCTTCACGTTAAATGTTTTTTAAGAAAAAGCTGTTTATAGAATTATTTGGTGAAGTTATTGAAAAGATTTTAAAGTTTTGTATTTTAATCAACAAGAGTTGTGCGACAAACTGATTAATGATTGATTTTTTTTTGCTTACGAAATTTACATAAAGAGCATATTGTTTTCAAACCATTACTCCTCCTCCGTTTTCAAAGATATGGATACCAAATTTCCATGAAAGGTAGTATTAGTATATACATTATATTTTAAAGCCATGGAAAGATTTAATGGATGTAAAAATACCAGTCGCATAAAAAACTCATTTGAAATACTGAAAATTTCTTTCTTTATTGTAATACCTCTATTTATTGCAACTTTTGAAAAAATTGTATGAAATAAAGATTCTCTCTCCATAGCACTGTTCTAGAAACGTCTCCCAATTAATAACCTCTAATAATTTTATAAATGTAATGGTTTTCAGAAGCCCTAGCGATTGAAAGTTCATAATACTAGTAAAACACTAATAAAGCATGTTGTTTTCAAATCACTCCTCCTCCATTTTCAAAGATATGGACACCAAATTTGCGTGCAATAGTATATATAATATAGATTAGAAACATGGAAAGATTTAATGGATATAAAAATACCAATGGCGTAAAAAAATTCATTTGAAATACTGAAAAAATTTTCTTTATTTTAATACTTCTATATACCTATTGCAACTTTTGAAAAAATAGTATGAAATAAAGATTCTCTCTCCATAGCACTGTTCTAGAAACATCTCCTAATTAAAAACCTCTAATGATTTTATAAATGTAACGATTTTCCAGAAGCCTTAGCAGTCAAATGATATGTCACAGGAAGTGTAATTACATATATAAAATAGAAAATCTGACTTGTGTAACAAATTAGTTTTTTAAAATTTCTCATTATTTTTATAACAAATACAAACATCATTATTAACCAAAAATAAAACTATGGCATTATAGCTTTCTAATGAGCCCTCTCCCATATTGATAGAGGCTCTCTATGTTAAGCTATGTTTATTCAAAAACAGCATTACTTTTTATTTCAAAGCTAAGATTTTTTACCAATATTACCTTTATAAACTTGGTGAGTGGTTGAAAAGATGTAAAATATTGTAAGCTTTCATATAGATATAGCTTTATGTGGATTGTTGTTTATTAAAGTTTAGTGAAAATGGCAAAAAACTCCAAAAAAATATTAAATTTTGATAAATTTATTTATCAATACACAAAAAGGAAAAAATGTAGGCAGGAGATTATTAGGAGATTATCAGGAATAATGACCAAAAATAGATAATTAATTTCCAAATGCGGTAATTTGGTCGACAAACTCACCATATGCGAACGATTTCCGGATAGGTTACACCTTTATCCCTGTGTTCAGAGGGATACAGCTTTTAGCCTGGTGAGGGATAAATATAAATACACGGATATATCTCTGATCACCTGGTCCATAGATCTTGAGTGAATTATCCGACTGATACCCAAAGATCGATAAGATTGATATCCCTCTTATATGATTTCCCAGGCTGAGGCTTTATCCCTACGAACTGAGGGATAATGGTGTAACCTTTCGGAAATTGTTCGCATGGGCTGGACAAACTTTAACACCAAGATTTTTTACTACAGTGTGGATCATCTATACTCAAAAGTTAAAATTTTTGAAATATTATGTGATCCACACATCAGATTTTAAAAAACTTACCACCATTCAATTCAGCTTTAAAAGGGGAGTCTATTAATCTAAAAAAAAAATTTGTCTCAA